TTTAGTTCTCGGCGAACACAACATCTTTGTTGGTATGTGGTGCTGAGGATCGAACCCGGGCCGCACGCATGCCAGGCGAGCGAGCTACCGCCTGAGCCACATCCCCAGCCCCTCATTTTGTTTTTGTCAGTGTTGTTTTTCCAGTGTTAACACTGCATCTTACCCTAATTTAAATTTTAAACAGCGGTTTTAAAACCAATTGGAAATTTTTTTAAAGAAGCTAATTTGAAGACTCAATTTTTAAAACATGACCAGCCTTAGAAAATTTATTCGTAACTTTTTTTAGTTCCTGGATATTCATTTTTCCCCTCCTTTTTTATTTATTTTTTTCACGAATACACAAATCAAAGGGAACTTAGGATATTTAAACTCTTGGAAACACATTTTTGAACAGTCCCAAACCATTTGTTGGCTCAGGCTTAAGAGCTTCTTGTCACTACAGAGTATATTTTAAAGCTGAGTGTAGCCTAATTGTCCTCTTTAAGTGTTATTTGAATGGTAATTGTCACTCCAAATATTCAGTATAGGGAATTGATACTTAGACTCTTGATCCCAAGTCAAGGTTTGGCTTTTTGTTAAAAATATAACATGAGCATAAGATGATGATACTTAACTGAAGTATATATTTATTATAACCCAGATCTTTTTATTTCCTAGGGTAAAATGGTTTCAGAATATCATAAAGATAATTACTGCTATATGGCTCACTAGTGACATATAAGAATTAATTCCTGTCAGCAACTTAGGGAGACTGTTTCAAAGTGCAAGCGGGGATTTAGCACCTCTGGGATCAAAAAATAAAGTAAAAATCTCCCACCTCCAACAGAACTTGGATGCCTACTGGGAGAATTGAGATTTTTGCATTTTATTTTTAAGAAGTATGTTTTAATTGGTATGAAAATGAACAGTATTTTCTGAATTATAGTTTGTTTTGACAAAATATGAATAGGCTAGCAAAATTTAGATTGCTTTTATTTCTTGAGGATAGGAAATGTAAAGTTTTGCTACTTCATTATGATAGTATTTTCCAATTTAAAAATTATTTTGTAAGACAATAGTGGGTTTTAATCTTTTTCTTCCCTCTGGGATTAATGGTTTCTTTTTTGTTCTGTTGGTTCTCCAGATATCACTTTTGTGTGCCACCTCTTTAATGAAGCCTTCTAAAATTACATCTACTGTTTTAACTCTTATCACTTATTTTAATTGTTATTTTACGTTTTAAGATTACAAATACCTTGTGGGCAGGTTTTGTTTTGTATCTTATCCAACATGTACTATTAAATTTGAATGCACAGGCTGGTTTTCTAGGATGTTGAATTGACATTTTTACTCAAAGTTTGATGGTATAGCCTGAGATGAAAGGCTTTGGAATTGGTAGCAAGGGTTACCTGTGTTAGGGTATTTGTATTATGTTGGCTCTAACTTTAAGTAAAATAAATTAACCCTTTGAGATGTTTTGAACAGCAACTATTGAGTTCTTGTATTGCTATATATATTCTTATATTGGTTCTTATATTCTTACATTGAGTACTTTATATGTTAAAAAATTGTTAGCAACCCATTTTAGAGAATAGAGATTTATAGATGTTTATAAAAGGTTATAGAATTAATAAGAAGTAGTCAGGACTTGAACATTTCAAGTTGAGGTACATTTTTCCTGGGCTCAACCGATCCTCCTGCCTTAGCCTTCTGAATTGCTGTGAATTAGGCACCTTGGTTTTAACTAGTCACCAAAAGTTACAAACTAAAGTGCCTACAGAATAGCATGCCAAATTATAAGGTTCTTGCCATATTTAAAGAGACAGCTGCTTGATTTTAAACTCAAAGTTAAACAACATGTTACCCTGTTAAGAATTTGAAACAGTGTTGCTAAGATTCCACAGTTTTTTCCTTTTTTTGTGGTGTTAGGGATCAAACCCAGAGAAGCTTCCAGTTTTTAAAGAAAGTCAAGAAATCTGATGTATCTCCTATTTTTTAAATGTTAGCAGCTAACTTAAATTAAAATACTGTGTAGGTTAAACAAAACACGTTTTGATGTTGCTCTGTATAATACACTGTATACTACACTGCTTCTCCTAAAAGGTTGGATGCCTTGATTAATTGATTGATTGATTGTGGATGGATGGATGCTGGGGATTGAACCCAGGGCAGATGCTCTTCCTCTGAGCCAAGTCCCCAGCCCTTTTTATTTTTTGAGACAGGATTTCACTCAAACTTGTAATCCTCCTGTCATCAACCTCCCCAGTAACTGGGGTTACAGGCATGAGTTATGATGCCCAGCAAGATGGATGCCTTTAAACTCTTCTGTTCCTGATTTTTGATCCCTATATTTTCCTAAGATCACTTCCTCTGAAGTTAACTCTCTTGTTAAGTATATTCTTAAATACCAGTATATGACATTACTGTGCTTTTTAGAACTTAATTATATTCTAAATGAATTATCTTGTATTATCAAACTGTCAGGAGGCTAGGAAGTTTGATGTTCACATTTACTATATTTTCCCTCTAGACCTGGTGATGACTGGAAAAAGACTTTAAAACTCCCTCCAAAGGATCTAAGAATCAAAACTTCGGTAAGTTGGGTGTAGAATTCAAGTGTAAAAATGGTGGGTAAACTAGAAGTAGTTCCTTGTAATAGGACAGTAGACAGTTTACTTTAAATAAAAATGGTTGAAATTATTCATATATGTTGGGCTGACACAATTTTTTTGTTTTTACCATTTTTGGGTGGAAATATATTATGTTGTAAAAAATAACATGTTTATAAATATGCACATTTTACTTAATTTTCTCAAAAATTTCCTTTCTTCCCAGCAACCTAGTGAGATATTCAAGTTAGGCATTACACCCACTTTGTGTATAAGAACTTGGAAATTTAAAGAAGTTAGTTTTTTTTAAACTCAGTGTTCTCAGGAGTGCTTTTTTTTTTTCTCCCAAGGGACATTTAGATAGCTAGAAACATTTTTGTTTATCTCCCCTGGTGGATACAGGACACCATTTTAAAACAGAATTTTCTTTATACTGAACTTAAGAAACCTAGATGTAGCTGAAGATGGTAGAGCTAGGGTTTGACTTAACATTTGTGGTCAGCAATTTATAGCATTGATACTTGTTTAGAAATAACAGTATTCTACCAGTCTTAGAAGACCAGGACCAGAGTTCCTTTTCCCAAAGCATAATTTTAAAGTGGCTGTGGTTGAAGGAAAAGTGGTTATTCTCTAGGAAAAGGTGAGATATAGATTAAAACAGTAATAATTAGTATATATTTAAGTATGTAAAGAGTTAAAGTCTCCTAGATAATAATCTCAGTGACTCAGGGGGCTAAGGAAGGAGGATAACAAGTTCAAAGCCAGCTTCAGCAACTTAGCAAAGCCCTAAGCATTTAGCAAGACCCTACCTCAAAAAAATAAATAAATAGGGCTGGGGATGTGGCTCAAGCGGTAGCACGCTCGCCTGGCATGCGTGCAGCCCGGGTTCGATCCTCAGCACCACATACAAACAAAGATATTGTGTCCACCGAAAACTAAAAAATAAATATTAAAGATTCTCTCTCAAAAATAAATAAATAAATAAATGGGCTGGGGGGGCTGGGGTTATAGCTCAGAGGTAGAGCACTTGTCTCAAATGAGTGGGACACTGGGTTCGATCCTCAACACCAAATAAACAAGTAAATAAACAAATAAATAAATGTATTGTTCATCTATAATAATATATATATATATAAAATTTTTCTTTAATTTAAAATAAATAAATAAAATGGGCCTCAGATATAACTCAGTGATTAAACACCCCTGGATTCAATTCCTAGTACCAAAATAAATAAATAAATTTAGATTTAAAAACATGCTAACTAACCAAACACATTGTACCATATTTTATTGTTTGTTTAATTAGGATGTGACCTCCACAAAAGGAAATGAGTTTGAAGATTACTGTTTGAAACGGGAGTTATTGATGGGAATTTTTGAAATGGGCTGGGAAAAGCCATCTCCTATTCAGGTATGTTTACTCTTTTTATCATATATATACATATGTGGTTATGTTTCACACATTACAAACTTTCTTTCTGATCTGTAGCAGTGGTGTAACTTTTCTCTCGTCTACATACCTATACACACTATTTTTCTGAAAATTTTAAGGTTGAGTTATAGAATTACGTCCTTTACCTCTAAATCTTTCTGTGGCTATTTCCTAAGAACAGGAATATTCTTTAACTACAGTATCGTTATCATTAATCATTAATTTTAACATTGATACATATCATTTATATTCTAATTAATAATTGACCCCAAAATACCTTTAATAGCTTTTTTTCCCTATCTGGTACAGAATCTAGTCTGGAATCAAGTATTGCTTGTAGATTATGTTTTTTTTTTGTGTGTGTGTGTGGGGGGGTCTGGGTTTTGTGTTGTGTGTGGTGGTGCTGGTTTTTTTTTTTGTTAGCATTATATTTTTATTTTTACATAATTTTTTGATTCTTTTTGACATGATTATACATATATAGGAAATTTTATTTCAGTCCCCATTTTCTCTCTAGTTATTGTTTCTTTAACCTGTTTTTTAATCATGACCTGTTTTTTTTCCCTCTTGGGACATTAACACATTAAAACAGCCCCTTTCTTTTTTCCTGATAGGGTAAAGGAGTTTCTCCTGTGGGTTTGTCTGATATTTCCATGTGATTAGCTTCAAGTTATGTTTTCTCAGCTAGAATATTGAAGAAGTCATGTTATAGTCTTCTCAAAGTACCATACTTAAAAATGTACCTATTGTCCCTCTAGTTAACTGATGGCCTTGTCAAAGTGTTATCTGATTTTTATTTATTTGTTTATTGCTACTATCTAATTACTACTTTTCTAAAACAGACAAGCAGCCTGGGGCACATTGAAGACTGTGCTAATATTCTGCTCTTCATCAAAATTTCCTCATTTAAACATCTTTTGATGATTCTGACTTGGTCTCATCTCCTCTTATGGGTTATAATGAGTTTCTGGCTGTAGCACTTCATCCATTTTTGACCCTTTTATAAAGAAGAGCCTTCTCTTTCCCCCACCCTGTTTATGTGTTGTCAGTATGAACTCATTAATTCCCTTTTTAACTGATATTTTTATGCCCAGATTGCCTAAACATTTGTCCTTTGAAAACATTTTCATGCCAGTTGTTATGTTTTTGTGATGTACTTCTTTATTTTTCTTTAGCACTTTCTTACTTTTTGGCATGATACCAGGATTATCTTATGCTTGATAGTGCCCCAGCCTTGAAATTCAAGGAGCCCTGATTTCCTTTTAATGGGAAATAGTATTGGGAACCATGTTGTAGGCACTGGGTACACATTTTGCTACTTTCATGTTTTCAGTGAAAACAAGTAAGTGCATGTACATGTGCGTGTACTTATGTGTAAGCACATACTATTACCTGTACCCGTTTGATGAAGACAACAGATGTAAGTTGAATCCATGCTGTGCTGAGGTCAAATGCTGTGACATCACTGAGTATTATATCATTGAACAAGCATGTATTGAGTGACCTAGAAAGTGTTAAACACTTGAAATTCTGATAAATAAGGTTTCAATCCTAAAGTCTGGTGGAAGGGACAGCTAATTAGTTGTATAGATGATTTCAATATAATATGATGTGTACCTTTCTATGGTTGCATATGATTGTAGCCATTAGAGTATGGAAGGACAACCTATAAGAAGTGGTCTTATTCTAGGCTGTGGGGTAGTAGTTCCCCAGAGATGAACATGTGCTTTTGCCTGCAAAAACACTTGGAGATGGCTATAAACTGAGGCAGGTCTGAATGGCTTAGGAAGCTATAATGGATGCATTACAACAATTTATATTTAGTTCCTTCTTAGAAGGGAACTTTCAAATGTCCTCAGTTTTGTTATCTGTTTACCACCTTGCTTAGGAATTTAGCCAAACCTGATTTATTAGAGTGGGTGAAGAAGGAATATAATTCCTTAGAGGGAATTTGGGTTGCTGTTAGGAAAGGGCTACTGGGTAAAATGAAACACAGTAATCATACCTATGGATCAGTCCCTAAACCTTAAAGTGGAACATAGACTTAAAAGAGACCTAAAGTTGTGGGGTTTATTGTTTTTTGAGAAGGAGACAGTGACTTGAGATTTAAATCACATATCATACAATTCACACATTTAAAGAAAACAGTTCATTAGTTTTGTGTTGAGTTGTATGATCATTGCCACAATTGGTTCCCCCCCACCCAAAAGAAACACTTTCAGCAATCACCCTTCATTTCCCTACAGCTTTAAGCAACTGCTAATTTTTATTTTTTATTTTTTGGCAGTAGCGAGGACTGAACCAAGGGGCCTCATGCATTCTGGGCAAATGTTCTGCCACTGAACTGCATCCCCAACCATAAATCTACTTTCTGTTCCTATAAGTTTGCATCTTTAGCTGGGCGTAGTGGCACATGCTTGTAATCCCAGTTACTTGAGTCTGAAGAAGGATCACAAGTTCAAGGCCAGCATGGGCAAATTAGGAAGACCCTGTGTCAAAACAATAAATACATGCATGCATGCATACATACATGCGTATGGCTGGGGATATAGCTTAGTGATAGAGCACCTGAGTTCAGTTCCCAGTTCTGAAGGGGGAGGGAACCCTTTTTGGACATTTCATATACATAGATTCATGCAGTATGTGGTCTGTGACTGGCTTCTCACATTTAGTGTAATGGTTTCAGGGTTTTTTCGTGTTATAATAAGCATCAGTCCTCCATTCGTAATTTTGCCCTCATTAAATTTTTCAAAAGTACTCTTTAAAAACCTGACCCAGACAGAGACCATCCTTCTTAACTTTTCAATAATATAGAATTGAATAGTGTACAATTAGCTTCTTAAAAACCACAGTCCACAAGTAGCATACAACCACAGAAGAGGGTGAACCTGTGGGAGTAGTTGGAATCTCTGAAACAACTAAAGATTAATGAAGTTGACTCAAATCCTGAAGGAAGGGAGAAATAAAGACCAAGGGGTCAAAGGTTTTTGTCTTTTGACTGCCTTACCCCAATAAGCAGATTATTTAATCTGTCTGTAAGACTAAAGTAACAGTATTGGGACTGAATCATTTTCATGGGTCTGACAGCTATATTATTTTGCCTATCTGGAACTCATCTGACTCGTATGACTGGCATTCTAGATAGAAATGGTATCATGGTGGGAGATGGAAGTTAAGCTGCCTGTTAATTATTTATTTAAAGTACTGGAGACATTTCTTTCAATCATTAGCCTACATGTAGAAGGAATAAATATGTGATTGTGAATCTGTTTTATTTATTTTCCTAATTTTTTAATTTTGCAAATTAAAAATTCTGTCCCAATTCTTCTTAACATAATTTTTCGGTCATTCATTTTAAAGTGAAAATTTAACTTCAGGTCACACAGGGTGGACTTTTCTTACTAAAAAGTAAGAAGTGTCATAACATCATTAAATTAGAATGAAAAGGCTAGTTATGTCTAATTAGCTGGCCTGTAAAGTCAAATTGTGGTGGAAGAGTGGCAGAATATGTTTTTTACTTGATATTTGCCTTAAGATAGAGAATTACAGAGAGTTCAAAACAAACTTTCAAACTTGTGAAACCTTAGTTGTTTTTTAGATGAACTATCCTTCCAGCATATATTGTTTTCTAATATAAAGAGAATCTTTTTTTTTTTTTAAGAGAGAGAGAGAGAGGAGAGAGAGAGAGAAATTTTTAATATTTATTTTTTAGTTCTTGGCGGACACAACATCTTTTGTTGGTATGTGGTGCTGAGGATCGAACCCGGGTCGCACGCATGCCAGGCGAGCGCGCTACCGCTTGAGCCACATCCCCAGCCCCAAAGAGAATCTCTTATTGAATGACTGGTATAGTGTGTTTGAGATGCTGTTGTCTATTGTTTGTTTATAGAAATTTTTTTTGTTTTTGGTACTGGGGATGACCCCAAGGATGCTGTACTATTGATCTGTATTCCCAGACCTTTTGTATTTGTTCTTCCTTTCATTTTCCTCTCTGCACATGTGTACTTGATTTTTAATAACTGATGGGAATCCTTTACAGTGTTCCAAGTAAATAGGAAGTATTGTTATCTTTGTAAAACATGCATGACAAAGTAAGCTAAATATGAAAATGAGAAGTCATTAAAGATATGACCATAGGATGAGATAACCAAAATAGGATTGAACTCCCATTTGAGCACATTTCAGGATAAAGAAGTTTGGTGTAAGACATATCAGACATTGGGGGTTTATGTACTATATAAGTAAATGCCAGATAGGACTGGAGGTTAAACATTTCCAGCCTATTTCTGTTTTATGCAAATATAAGCTAAGTTACTATTTTTGGTTTTGGTGCTAGGGATTGCACCTTGGGCCTCCATCATTCTAAGCACACACTTTTACCATTGAGCTACACCTCCAACCCAATCTACAAAGTCAGATAGGCTGACTGGTTTGAAAATATTATCGTCATTCCTTGGTGGTGTTGGTGGGATGGGTTTTTTTTCCCCCCTTTTTGAGGGGGGAGAGTCTGGGGGCATGTGCTGGGGATTGAACTCTCAGGTACTCGACTACTGAGCTACATCCCCAGCCCTGTTTTTATATTTTATTTAGAGATAGAGTCTCACTGAGTTGCTTAGAGCCTCACTGTTGCTGAGGCTCACTTTGAACTCGCAATCCTCCTACCTGAGCCTCCTGAGCTGCTGGGTTCCCCCAGTATGTGGGTTTTTGTTTGTTTGTTTGATTTTTGTTTTTAATATTTTTTTTTTAGTTGTAGATGGACACAATACCTTTATTTTATGTGGTGCTGAGGACTGAATCCAATGCCTCTTATGTGTGAGGCAAGCGCTCTGCCACTGAGCCACAATCCTAAGGCCTGCCCCCCATTTTTAAAGAAATATTCTTTGCCTTTTTATCCATATGTTCAGGTTCTTTTTTATGGTCCTTTCTGTTTCCTCCATCTTCTTTGTACACACATATACATTCACATAGTTATTATATTGGAATGCAACTTAAAATATATCCCTTTTTTGTGGTGCTGGGGATTGAACCCAGGGCCTTATGCATGCAAGGTAAGCACTCTGTCAGCTGAGCTATATCCCCAGCCCTAAAATGTATCCTTATGAGTTGTGGATATTGGTTGACAATGATGGTGCTGTTCACTGGTCCTGTTAATTTATTTTGATTTTTGTATTCATGTAAAATGGAAATGTAAGACACTTAAAAGCAATACCAAAATATACTTATTTTAGAGAAGAATTAGCTTGTATACTGCTTTTATTCAAAAAAGTGTTTGCATTAAATTGTCTTTTAGGAGGAGAGCATTCCCATTGCTTTGTCTGGTAGGGATATCTTAGCTAGAGCAAAAAATGGAACAGGCAAGAGCGGTGCCTACCTCATTCCCTTACTTGAACGGCTAGACCTGAAGAAGGACAATATACAAGGTTAGTTGGAGAAGTTTGTTTTTCTTTTATTTTTAGTTGTATATGAACATAGGATATCTTTATTTATTTTTATGTGGTGCTGAAGATTGATCCCAGTACCTCACACACTCCAAGCACTTTACCACTGAGCTATAGCCTCAGCCCCAAGTTTGTTTTTATTTTAAAGTCAAAATGGCTGTTTAAATCTTGGAACCATGTAGACGATATTTCTGTCTTTTTTGCAACAGAGTTTACATAGTCTGGAGTAATTTTCTTGTTGTTGACAACATTGCACTGACATAATCAAACTAAGTACTAATGCCCTATTGGTAGGAAATTAGTGGACATTCTTAAAAACTGTAGAACTGAATTGTTTCTTGTCATAGCTGTGTGTCTGCAAAGTTCCTGGTAGAAACCTGAACAATCTTGCTTAAAAGTTATGATTTGGAGATTTTAAGTCTAGTAGAGAAAAAATAAATTTCTGTAGTTGTACCCAGGGTAAGCTAATGGAATTAGGATGTCACCTCTAAAGCATTTCTTAAGTATTCCACTTTCTTGATCTATAACTATCACTTTTCCATTCTTTCCTATGGTGCAAATACAGAACCTGGGCAGTTGGAGTTTCCTACTTGGATGCTTAAATTAGTGAATCTTTCCCTGTCAAACAAATGTAATTAGGACTTGTTAAGAATATTGTTAATGATCTTTTAGGCCTGTGATAATTAGACTTTTAATATCTCTCAGTATCTGATTTACAAGGAACATTATTTTTATAGCTTCTTAAACTCTTGACCTTCTTTTTTTTTCCTTCCATTTTCTGTTCCCTGATATTTTCTAGCAATGGTGATTGTTCCCACTAGAGAACTTGCTCTACAGGTCAGTCAAATTTGCATCCAGGTCAGCAAACACATGGGAGGGGCCAAAGTGATGGCAACCACAGGAGGAACCAATTTACGGGATGACATAATGCGTCTTGATGATACAGGTAGGAAATGGTTAATATAAAGTACAATAGTTCTCTTATAATTTTAGTCACATGTTGCTTCCTTATAGTAAATTAGTAAAAATCATTAAAAATTAAGATAACAGATACATTGCAATAGAAAATGAAAAGAGATGATTTTATTCAATAAAGGGCAAATTGATTATTGAAAAGTTTTTAATGTAAGTAGTAATTTTTTAATGTAACTGAAAATAGCAAATTTATATTTATCTAATTTGTAAAGCTGAAAAATAGTAATGGTTAACATCAGTTATTGGAAATATAGGCTGTCTTACAATTTGGGAGTATAAATTGATCTCTGTTGTGGGCAGTTTGGCATTATTATCTCAGTATTATAAATGTATATTTTCCTGAAGAAATAATTGGTAAGTACAAGACTAGATAGATAGATATAGATATACGGATATATGGTTATTTACTAAATGGTATATAATGCTGAAAAAATTAGATTACTCTAAATCAATAAATTGGCTAATACATTGGGCTTTGATCTGAATGGACTTCCATGTAGCCATTAAAGAGTAAAGATGATTGGTGTTCACTTCTATGATGAGATCTCCATGTACATACTGAATGTAAAGGTAGCAACTAGCAAGAATGAGATTACTTAAAAGATCATACAGATTTTTGTCAGAATTTTATATATAATTATCTCTATAATTGGTATTTTTTTTATATTGCACAACTGTTAAAAATTATCATTTTATCATTATAACAGTATCACCTGAGTCTCCTGTTCTAGATTAGAGGCATTTCTACTAGTATTTATTGTGGATTGTCCTCAGACAGGATGTATGTCCCCTATTTGGAGCAAATGATTTGGGAAGCTGTAGCTCACCCAGTGTAGAAGTGCAGTAAAGGGTTTTTTTTTATTAGCTGTATTGAGGTAAAATGGAAATAGAAAGCCTAAAACACATCCTTGTGTCTTTTTATGTTACTCCCGTCTCTATTACAGTGTTTATGTTAAAGCCTTTACAGTCCTTTTGGTCCAAACTAAAATTAATGAGAATAATGTTTCTAAATCTTGTTGTAGTGCATGTGGTGATTGCTACCCCTGGCAGAATCCTGGATCTTATCAAGAAAGGAGTAGCAAAGGTTGATCATGTCCAGATGATAGTATTGGATGAGGTAATGTCTCTATTTAGAAAGATATTTTTCTGTACAATTCTATGCTTTGCTTATAATTTCCAGTGAAACAGCAAAGTCTGTTTCTGTTTATGACCTAATAACATGACTAATCAAGTTTAAACTGGTTTGCTTATAAAAAAACATGTTTATCTTCCAAGGTAGTAGATGATGGGCATTTATAGGAATTCAGTCTCTTTTTCCCTTAGGGATACCAGATAAGTTTTTTTGTTTTTGTTTTAAGCAGTTGGATACAGTACCTTTTAAGATGAGGAGTTACTGAATAACCTCAAAGCCAAGTTGATTATAATACTGTCTGTAAATCCCATTAATCTTTAATGCTTTATATTGTTTTTTTTTGGGGGGGGGGGTTACATGTATTATCTGAATAGGTTATAAGTGTCTTTTAAGAACTTACTCAACTTTCTATCACTGGAATCCCGATAGTGTTTTATAAATGTAGAATATCAGTGTTAAATGTTCTGGCATAGTTAGTTTTCCCATTTGGATTGTGTGGTAAGAAGATAACCCAGCTTAATAGATGTGGAAACCAAGGTTCAAAATGATTGAGTAATATCCCAACACAGCTAATGAATAAAGGAGACATTTCAACCCAGATGGTTTGACTCTAGAACCTATATTTTTAAGTATAGGTTTTAAATATATATTTTATACTACCCTTTTAATGGGAATCACCTGAAAAATTCTGTCATGGGGATGGGGGGTGGCTTCAGTCTAGAATTTTTTTCTTTTTCCTAAAAAAATAGGGATTATAGACTTTTCCCTTTCTGGATCAGTGGGAGTTTGTCTTGGTGCCATTGTACTCTGTGCAGTGTTGGAGTGAACTTATTTATAACCAGGAATGTTCCATGGGTGTTTTTGTTGGATTATGCTTTATTCTTTGTCCACACTACACATTAACCAACGACGTTATACATTAATTCATTGTCTTAAAAATTGTCTTCTCTTTGTACTATAGGCGGATAAGTTGCTGTCGCAGGATTTTGTGCAGATAATGGAGGATATTATTCTCACGCTACCTAAAAACAGGCAGATTTTACTATATTCTGCTACTTTCCCTCTTAGTGTACAAAAGTTCATGGTAAGTGTAAATCTGTACTTGTAATCAGTGCCATCCTGTTGCCTTGTATGCTTTTACCCATAGTTACATCTTAGAGTATACGCTTTACACTGATTATTTCAAGTTTTTGGCTTTTTGAGTTAAAGGGAGAGAAATACTGCTTTCCTTTAAGTGTGTTTCTTCTTATTTTCAGAATTCCCATTTGCAGAAACCCTATGAGATAAACCTGATGGAGGAACTAACTCTGAAGGGAGTAACCCAGTACTACGCATATGTAACTGAGCGCCAAAAAGTACACTGCCTCAACACACTTTTTTCCAGGGTAAGTAGTAGATTTCTGTTGCTGAATATTTTCTATCATTTAATCCCAGTAAAAAAGTTATATAGGGCTGGGGATGTGGCTCAAGCGGTAGCGCGCTCGCCTGGCATGCGTGCAGCCCGGGTTCGATCCTCAGCACCACATACCAACAAAGATGTTGTGTCCGCCGAGAACTAAAAAATAAATATTAAAAATTCTCTCTCTCTCTCTCTCTCTCCTCTCTCTCTCTCTCTAAAAAAAAAAAAGTTTGGGGCTGGGGATGTGGCTCAAGCGGTAGCACGCTCGCCTGGCATGCGTGCGGCCCGGGTTCGATCCTCAGCACCACATACCAACAAAGATGTTGTGTCCGCCGAGAACTAAAAAATAAATATTAAAAATTCTCTCTCTCTCTCTCTCTCTCCTCTCTCTCTCTCTCTCTCTCTAAAAAAAAAAAGTTATATGAATTTTGCTTTGATCTTCAGTAAATAGCAGTTTTAGTCTATAATAATGTGACCTTACTTATAGTTATCCTTATTATTCACAGTCTGTTTATGAATTTGCCTGGTCACTAAAATTATTTATAGCTCCAAAATCAATGCTGAATGTACTTTCGTGATCATTTGAATTATGCAGGTTGGCCATAAATTGACTCACTTGACATGTACATTTCCCAACTAAATGTCTGGGAAGATAACACTCTGCTTTCTTGTTTTAGCTCTCATACTGTAAATCAGTGTCTGTTTGGCACTCCTAATGCCGTCTTTATCAAATTTTTGTGTTTTTTCTTTTTATATATATATATATATATATATATATATATATATATGTATGTATATTTTAGTTGTAGTTGGACTCAATATCTTTTTTTATTTTTATTTGGTGATGAGTATCGAGCCCAGGGCCTCACACGTGTTAGGCAAGCGCTGTACCGCTGAACAACAACCTTAGCCCCAAATTTTTGTGTTTTTTATTGTTTTGTTGTCTTGTTGATGATTCACTATTTCACATGGCCCCTTCACATAGTGCTGAAGAGTTTGCTCACTGCTCCTAAACACAAGACTAATTTGCCTTATAGAGAAAATGTAGGTTGGAAAAGCTTTTGGCAGTCATGAGTTATAATCATTATATAATTATCTGCAATTATTAAATAAACAAAACATTTACAGTTTTTATAACTTTCCATCTGATATCATAAGATTCCAAATTTTAGGCCTTTTTAAAATTTTTTGGTACCGGGGATTGGACACAGATGCATTTAACTACTGAGCCACATCCCCAGCCCTTGTTTCTTAATATATTTTATGGTAGGGGGTGGGGGAGTGCTTGTTGAGTTGCTTAGGTAATCTGCCATCATGCTGGCATTTTTCTTCTTTGCTAGTTACTAGCAAAACAAATGAAAGTCTTTGCTTTTCTTTCTCATACTAATTAATTTTTTCTGTGCTCAGCTTCAGATAAACCAGTCGATCATTTTCTGTAACTCTTCTCAGCGAGTTGAATTGCTAGCCAAGAAGATTTCTCAACTGGGTTATTCCTGCTTCTATATCCATGCTAAAATGAGGCAGGTGAGTATAAAGTGGACTTGAACAGATTTATAAAAATAATCTAATTATTTCTTGGATTTTATTTTATTCATTTCTAAAGATTGAAACTGGGGTGCTTTACCACTGAACAACATCCCCAGTCCTTTTTATTTTGAGACAGGGTCATGTCAAATTGCCCAGGCTGTCCTTGATATTGTAATCCTGCCTCTGCCTCTTGAGTTGCTGGGATTATAGGCATGTACCAATGTACTGGGCTGGGTTTGGTGTTTTTTATTGTTGTTGTTTTTTAATTTATTTTTTAGTTGTGGTTGGACACAACACCTTTATTTCACTTGTTTACTTTTTTATGTGGTGCTGAGGTTTGAACCCAGGGTCTTGCATGTGCGAGGCGAGCGTTCTACCGCTGAGCCACAACTCCAGCCCCATGGGCTATTTTGTTTTAATATGCCTCCAAATGCCCTGGATTTAAGAATAGACTATTCTTCACTGAGGGTATAGCTCAGTGGCAATGATAGGTGCTAGGTTCAATCTTCAGCATCAGGAGGAGGGAAAAATAATATTGTTCTTTAATAGCAAAGGCCCCTTCATTATAACACTCCCTAAGATTCAGTTATCTAAAAATAAAAAGGGGTAATGGTATACTCATACCTTAGAAGGTGCAAAAAGATTGAGAATAATGTGTGAGTGTATTCTAAGCTATCAGGCATGATACAGAAGTGAAATTTTATTCCTTTTTCCTAGGTAAGCTCTAGATGTGCATTGTTGCATACAATAACCACTAGCCATATATGATGATTTAAATTAGTGGGCTGGGGTTATGGCTCAGCGGTAGAGCGCTCACTTAGCACATGCAAGGCCCTGGGTTTGATCCTAGGCACCACATAAAAATAAATAGATATTTTTAAAAATTAGTTAAAGTGAAAATTAAAAATTAGGGGCTGAGGTTGTGGCTCAGGGTTAGAGTGCATGCCTACCACGTGTGAGGCCCTAGGTTTGATCCTCAGCACCACATAAAAATAAATAAAGATATGGAATCCAAATACAACTAAAAATATATATATATTAAAATAAAGGAGGGGCTGGGGTTGTGGCTCAGTGGTAGAGTGCTTGCCTCGCATGTGTGAGACCCTGGGTTTGATCCTCAGCACCACATAAAAACAAACAAACAAAATAAAGATATTGTACCCATATATAACTAAAAATTTTTTTTAAAAAGGGCTGGGGCTATAGCTCAGTGGTAGAGCGCCTGCTTCACACTCATGAGGCACTGGGTTCGATCCTTAGTACCACATAAAAATAAATTTATTTTTTAAGGAAAATTAAAAATTAGTTTCTTAGACAAATTAGCAATATTGCAGGGGCTCAGTCAGCTACCTATGGCTAGTGACTTTCATATTGGAGAGTAATGAAGAACATTTCCTTTATTACAGAAAGCTCTGGTCTAGATTTTTAACTTATTGTTATAATAATTTCCTCTTATCTGCAGAGGTACCAAGATCCTCAGTGGATGCCTGAAACTTCATAAAACCATCTCTAAATACTGTTTTTTCTATATATTACACACTTAGAGATTAGTCGTGGTGATAGATTAGTAATGGTAATAAAATGGAATAATTATGCAGTAGACTATAATGTCATGTTACTGATGCCTCTCAAAATATCTTACTGTACTAAACTCACCCTTCTTATGATGTGAGGTGATTAAATGAAATGAGGTGAATCACTTAGGCATTATGAGTGATGCAACTTTAGGCTATTACATAAGAGTTGCTTGAATATAGGCACTATGACATGACAGTTGATCTGATAACTGAGATAGCTAAGTGATGTGGGTAGTGTATACAGTAGTATGTGCAGTGTGGATATATGGGCAAAAGGATTGTTCATGTCCCAGACAGAATGGTACAAGATTTCATCACTCTTCAAAAGGGTGTGCAATTTAAAACTTACAATTGAAATTCTGGGGTTTCTTATTCATTTAATATTTTGGGTTTATTTTGCTACTTGAAGAAAAACAAACTGAAAAGGCAGGTAGACAGTCAAGTCAGACAAAGCAAATGGATTTAGTACCCTTCCATCTCTACTCTTGGAATCTTATTGATATGAGATTAATATGGGTAACAGACTATGGAAAGCAAAACAAAGGATAAGACTGAACTACTGTATATGGTCCCCAAACTGATAGGTCCCCCCCGCCATGAAAGTTAGTATAGACTGATTAAGACATTAAATTTGGTTTTGAAGGGACCTTAATGTCATGGGCTAGGGATGTAGGTCAGTGGTAGAGTGCTTACCTAGCATGTGCGAGGTCCTGGGTTCGAGCCTCCATACCACAAATGAAAGAGAAAATAAAGCTTAATGTCATGGATCATTTTGGTGTAAAGAACTGATTGAAGCGAGGTGTATTGGTGCATGCCTATAATTCTAAGGATCCAGAAATCTGAGACAAGAGGACCACAAGTTCAAGAGCAGCCTTGGCAACTTAGCAAGACCCTTTCTCAAAATTAAAAGGTTTGGGCTGTAGCTCACTAGTAGAATGTCCCTGGGTTCAGTCCCCAGTACCACAGGAAATTTTTTTTTTTTAATATTTATTTTTTAGTTCTCGGCAGACACAACATCTTTGTATGTGGTGTTGAGGATCGAACCTGGGCCGCATGCATGCCAGGCGAGTGCACTACCGCTTGAGCCACATCCCCAGCTCCCACAGGAAATTAAATATTGAAAAAGAACTGACTGGTTAGGAGACACAATGACCAAAAATTTGTGCTGTATATTAGTTTTAATTAAATGGAGTGCTTTTCTTCCTAGGAACATCGAAATCGTGTGTTTCATGATTTCCGAAATGGCTTATGCCGCAATCTTGTTTGCACTGGTAAGTATTTTTTTATGTTTCTTTTACCTATTGTTTTTTTTCCCCATACTTCTGTTTGCATTGTTATGTATCATACAATGTAGCTTGAAATGTAGACCAGCATAGCCTACTACCATTTTGAGAATTTCTGAAATTTAAGAATGAACCCCCAGTGTTGGCCTCCTTATCTGAATCTGCAGAATACTTGTCTGATATCTATCTATCTATTTATTTTTGTTCTTTTTAGTTATACATGACAGTAAATTTTATTTTGACTATTATATATGCACAGAATGTAATTTCCCATTTTTCTGGTGAGCACACGCTCTACCACTGGTCATGTATTTATATATATACATAGGAAATTTTGTCTGATTCATTCTACTGTTTTTGCCATTCCCATGCTCTCATCCTTCTTCCCCACTGGCACTCACCTGTCTCTTAAATTATTTTTGGAATTTGTGTTTTGTTGTTTGTGTTTTTTTTAACATTTATTTTTTAGTTGTAGTTGGACACAATACCTTTATTCTCTTTATTTTTATGTGGTGCTGAGGATCGAACCTAGGGCCTCGCACCTGCTAGGCAAGTGCTCTACCGCTGAACCACAATCCCAGCCCCAAGAATTTGTGTTTTTTGAGTAGTTTTAGCATACAGGAATGCGCTAACACAAAATGAATACTAAGAAATTCCGTATGTTTTTTAAAAAGAAATTAAAGTGTTTTTGAAGTTGTCTTTTTGTTTTTCCTCAGAAACAGACTAGTCTATTTTGTTTATTTTGCTACATGAAGAAAAATAAACTGAAAAGACAGGTAGACAGTCAAGTCAGACAAAGCAAATGGATTCAGTACCCTTCCATCTCTACACTTGGAATCTTATTGGTATGAGATTAATAATCTAGTGTATATTGCCAGGCGCATTCGCTCACGCCTATAATCCCAGCGGCTCGGGAGGATGAGGCAGGAGGATCACTAGTATCAGCAACAGTAAGGCGCTAAGCAACTCAGGCCCTGTCTCTAAATAAAATACAAAAATAGGGCTGGGTGCCCCTGAGTTCAATCCCTTGTACCAAAAAAAAAAAAAGAAAAAGAAAAGAAAAAAACTAAAATGGAGAACTTGGAATTTGAGATATATACACAGAAGAATACACTAATTTGTACAATAATTGATTAAATTTTGCATATGTATACACTCAAACAACAATCACTCAGATAAAGATTTAGAATATTTAAAAAATCTGGATTTTTATAAAAATGCTGTTCTAGAAATAAACTTCCATATTTTTCTCCCAGAATATTAAATTGTGGTGATTGACAAAAAGAAAGAAAGTGATTATAAAACATTTGCATATTTATAGTGTCTTTGCCTTATATCTGAAAGGACAATTGATTGAGCTAGGAATTAATCCTTGAATGGCAACTTGACCTTTTAAGTATAAGTAACCTGATTTAATGGAAAAGATATTAGACTCCTTGAGTTTAGAGATTAGTTTTGTTTTTTTCCTTTAAACTTCTAATTGTGACCTGGGGCAAGTCCTATTTTCTCTTATACTGTCTCAGAATTTATAGAGAAATGGTACCAATTGCCATCAGGCATTCCTTTATTAGAGAGTGAATTAGTGAATTACTCTTTTTTTTTTTTGGTACTGAGGATTGAACCCAGTGCTACTCAATCACTGAGCCACATCCCCAGCCCTTTTTTATATTTTATTTAGAGACAGGGTCTCACTGAGTTGCTAAGACTGGCTTTGAATTTGCAATCCTCTTGCTTCAGCCTCCAGAGCCACTGGGATTACAGGTGCCCGGCAGTTTTTCTTTATTTAAGAAATGGAATTTGAGACTGAGAAGCCATGGATTCAATCTCTAGTTCCCCAAAATAAAATAGTAAAAGTTTTTAGCATTTGTACATTGAAAAGAATTGTTACACTATTTTTATTTTTTTTAATTTTTTTTTTAATTTTTTTTTTATTGTTGGTTGTTCAAAGCATCACATCTTTCTTGATATATCATATTTCACAATGTGATTCAAAGGGTTATGAACTTCCATTTTTTACCCCGTATACAGATTGCTGAATCACATCAGTTACATCAGTTACATTTCCATTGATTTACACATTGCCATTCTAGTGTCTGATGAATTCTGCTCTCTATCCTGTCCTCTACTATCCCCCCTTCCCTCCCCTCCCCTCCCCTCTTCTTTCTCGACCACCTCTACTGTAAAACATTTATTCCACTTGTATTATTCTTCCCTTCCCCCTCACTTCCTCTTGTATGTAATTTTGTAAGACCCTGAGGATCACCTTCCCTTTCCCTGCAATTTCCCTTCTCTCTCCCTTTCCCTCCCACCTCTCATCCCTATTTAATGTTAATCTTCTTCTCCTGCCCTTCGTCCCTACGTTACACTATTTTTAAAGTTAAAAGTGCCAGGTAGTAAATATTTTAGACTCTACACAATATGGTGTCTGTTTACAAGTAATCTCAACTCTGTCATTGTAGCTCAAAAGCAGCCTTAGTACATAAATCAAAGGGCGTAATTTTATTGCAGCCAAACTTTATTTACAAAAAAATATTAGTTGGGCTGGATTCAAAAGAGAGGAAAAAGTGATGAGCAAGTATAAAGTACAAATAGTAAGAAATCGTAAGTGTTCATTGGAATGCACAGTAAATTATTAGCTGTGAGGTGATTTGAGAAGAGATGTAATTTTAATTAGCTTTATAACCTGGGTAAGTTTTAGACCTGCAGAAGAAGAAATTTTAAGTTAGGTGACTGTGGGATTTTTTAAATAAATGATCCATAGAAGGCCTAGAAGGTAAGTTTGAGAAAGAACAAGTGAATGAGTTTGGTAGAAATGTATTAGAGAATTTAAATTAGGACCAACTTGGGGACCTCAACTGTCAATTTAGATTTTATCTAATAACAATTTTTTTGGTTAGGGGTTGGGTGCCAGAGGTTGAACTATGGGGCACTCAACCACTGAGCTACATCCCCAGCCCTGTTTTGTATTTATTTTTTATTTTGAAACAGGGTCTAGCTAAGTTACCAAGCCTGGCCCCAAACTTGCCATCCCCTTGACTCAGCCTTCCAAGTACCTGGGATTAAAGACATGTGACACCATGCTCAGCTGTCATGGAGCTGATAGAAATAATAGCTAGATTTACTTGTTCCTATCTAGGTCTCCTCCACCCACAGAATTTGAACTAGCATAGTAATTATGGGACTAGAAAGGAATAGAAGGAATTTTGCCCATTAACTTACTTCAAGTCTGTTGTAAATCATTTAGCAGAGTGGAATGAATGCTAAACAAAACATGCTGATTAGTGAAATTATCTCTTTTTGAAGTAAAGTATAAATCAGATTAAATGCTAGAAAATAGACTAAAGGAAATTACTGTTTACTCCTGAGGCTTCTTTATGAATTTAATATACCAGTCATCACAGTCGTGTTCCTGCATTTGTGCAATTACCTTAGGCCATTATTTAAAACTCACTTACAGGGGCTGGGGATATAGCTCAGTTGGTAGAGCACTTGCCTAGCATGTGAAAATCCCTGGGTTCAATCCCCAAGACCACCAAAAAAACCCACAAAACTTTATAGGAATGGAAAAGGGTAATTTGTAAGTTGTAATCACGAAAGGTATTGTCAGTAATTTGCAAGTGCATGTTAATAACTGAAATTTTAAAACTTAGGTTACAAGAAATGTGTTTAAAATATGGTGTCAAGAAGAAGCATGTTTAAATTAAAAGGTATAATAGAAATTAATCTTTTTATTTGTTTTTTAAAGATCTGTTTACCCGAGGTATTGATATACAAGCTGTGAATGTGGTAATAAATTTTGACTTCCCAAAGCTGGCAGAGACCTATCTTCATCGTATTGGAAGATCAGGTGAGGAAGAGAAAGAGGATGGTTTGTGGGAGTTGGTTTTTGAGAAGTGTAATTACTAAAATTTTGTTCCTTTATGGAACAGTATAAGGGTTGAGTTTGTAGCTCAGTGGTATATCACTTGCCTAGCATGTACAAGGTCCTGGGTTCTATTCCCAGTGCTGCAAAAAAATAAAAATAAAAAATACACTATCTACTATAACAGTGAATTTACACTAATCCAGTCATTTGACTAAAACTCCAGTTTCTAATTCTTAAGTAATTTATTAAGAGTTAAAATGACTACTTATTTTAAGATGAAATTATGCGAAAACTTGAGTCATTGGTACTGTATGTGACTGTACTATTCAGTGTGTGTGTTTTGGCAGTTTTTGATGATGTGAGCATCTATTTTGTCACTTGAAGAAGGTAAAATAAAATACAATTGTTTCTCAGTATCCATGTGGTCTTGGTTCTAATATTTCCTATGAATATCAAAATCTGGGTGCTCAAGTTCAAAACTCTTGTATAAATGGCATGGTATTTGGCACAGAACCTGTGCACATTGTTCCAGTATACTTAGAAATTTTCCTTGTTTATAATACCTGATACAATGGAAGTAGTAGTTATACTATAGTATTTAGGGAATAATGGCCAAAAAAGGTCTGTACACACTCAGTGTAATTAGACTTTTTTCCATATATTTTCGATCCGTGGTTGGTTGTATCCGCAGATGTGGAACCCATAGATGCAGAAGGCCAACTGTACTATTTTGGACTGAGATCTGAAGATAACCTGGTAATGAGGAGATCATAAGAAATGTTTTCTTACACTAGACTGGCACTGAACGTAGATATTAATTCTTTGTGTTTTTGCCAGGTTAAAGACTTATACCTATGTATGTATTATCATATTTAACTTTTTTTTTTTTTTTTAGGTCGCTTTGGTCATCTTGGCTTAGCCATCAACTTGATCACATATGATGATCGTTTCAACCTGAAAAGTATTGAGGAGCAGCTGGGAACAGAAATTAAACCTATTCCAAGCAACATTGACAAGAGCCTGTATGTGGCAGAATACCACAGCGAGCCTGTAGAAGATGAGAAACCTTAACAAGCATGTATGTACTTAACAATAGTGAAGTGAGCAGAACTTTTAAATGTAAAGGAAAGAAATAAGAGTCTTTTTTCCTAGGGGAAATTTGGTGTGCCACCATGTATAATTGCAAATAGAGTTTAAAAAAAAAACACATTAACATAATGGCAAAAAAGCAGACATTGCTTGGGTGAGGTAGTAATATCATTAGAGAATATATTAGTGATATTCTGGAATGTAGCTTCCTGATGAATGTAATAGCAGTACTTAACACACATTTGGATTCCAAAAATAAAGTTAAAAAAAATTATGTATTTAGTTTGACAGTTATAAAGATGGCTTTTTAAAATGCCCATTCTGATTTCCTGAAGAGCCATCTTTTTTTATCTTTATCCAATTTAATTTGACAATAATTTCAAAGTCATAGTAAGCATATTAATATAGCTTAAAGAATTCTCAATTGGGGCTGGGGATGTGGCTCAAGTGGTAGCGAGCTCGCCTGACATGCGCGGGGCGCTGGGTTCAATCCTCAGCACCACATAAAATAAAATAAAGATGTTGTGTCCACTAAAAGTTGAAAAATAAATAGTTTTTTTAAAAAAAAAGAATTCTCAAATTATTCTTTTCACTTTAACTTTTTCCCTAAGTTAAATATCAATGCAAAACTCTTAGACAAACAAAACTACAAATATTTGTTAGTACTTTGGCATACTATTCAATTCATTTAAATCAATATTTTTTGAGTTGTCGATAGACCTTTATTTGCTGAGAATTGAACTCAGTGCCTCACACTTGGTGGGCAAGCACTCCACCACTGAGCTACAACCTCAGTCTTTAAATAAGCATTTTTTTTCCTTGATGTAATTGTTACTAATGAGGGCTGCAACATGGACTTTCAGGATCTCATTCTGTCTCAAGAATAGCTAGGAGGAGTTCATTAATTGTACCCAGTGGATATTTGGATATATATTCATTCTCTCTCTCTCTCTCTCTCTCTCTCTCTCTCTCTCTCTCTCTCTCTCTGTGCGTGTGTGTATACACCTGTATTTTATTTATTTTTATATGATGCTGAGGATTGAACCCATTGCCTAGCACATGTTAGGCGAGAGCTCTACTGCTGAGCCACAACCCTGTCCCCCACCCCCAGTGGATTCTACAGTAAACAAAAATTCAGTAGAAACTACTAGACAGAGATTTGGAATGAGAATTGTGAAATGTATATATCCTAGCTTTCACAAATGTTAATTTTAGATTTCTCCACTCTTTCTGTAGGCTTTGACAAAACTACAGAACGCTCCTTTGGATCTGTGACACATCGTTTTTTGGGGGGTGCTCTTCTCTTTGTGGGTTTTTCATCTTCTTTTATTTTGGAGCTATGAAGACTTAAAAGCGCTCAGACATTTTTCTTTTTTTAACTGGTGAAGAGGGAAAAAACTGAAAAGAAGGAATATACCTTTTTTGTTCCACTGGTTTGCACTGTGTGCTGACTGAACATTAGTTGCACTAACTGCTGGTTTTTTTAAAAAAAAAATGTTTTTTGGGGGAAAGGGGACAAGGAAGGAGGAAAAAGAAGAGAAGGGGAGAAACCCTAAAAAGAGAAGAATCTTGAACACACAAGCTTGTCTACAATTTCAAAATTCTCCAACAGCTGACTCTTCAAGTGCATTTCAACTTCTCCCTAATTGCTCATCCGTTTTTTAAGCCTGAAGAGCTTATTACTTATTTGTGCGAAGTGCCTTATGCTATAAGACCATTCAGAATATCATCTTTTAGACGCAGCCCGAGGAATCCACAATTTTTCTTCCTTTCTGTTGTCTTTCTTTTTTTAAAGTTTTTTTTATTTTTTGTCTTTCCATTTTGGTTTCAAGTTGAAGTCTCTCTCTTCCTTTTTACCTAGTACCGAAATCCAGGGCTGAAAGATGAAACTTACTAGTAATGTTAAACACCATTTTCTTTTTCTTTATGAGGAGGAGTTGATATGCAACTGCAGTTCATCCGCACTGTAAATACATGTATTTAAAAACAAACAAAAACAATCCCAAGTAAAAATTTCTTCTGGGCTGAGTAGATACAACATCATCGCTCCCAAAGGAAAGAGCAGTCTATCATTGCAGGAGCCATATGACAAGCCTTTGTGCTCTATAGCAGAACACTAAAGACTGGTTTACATACGCCTCCATTAGCAGTATGGCACTTGATGTGTAGACATGATGTCGGAGCCTTGACCCTCTTTCCTCTGTGGCAAAGTGTGTCCCATAGAAAATTGGGTGTGTATACTTGTAAAAACTTTGTAAATAAGTTTTTTTCTGGGTTCATATATATATATATAATATATATATATATACATATATATATATTATTTTTTTTCTTTGATGAAGGTTGCTGGGATTAAGGGGATTAGAGTGATTATGGGAGCAGCTAAAGATGAGAGGGGCTCAGTTTTCTGCAACACTAAATTCTAAAAAGGAGTACTTTGGCCTCTACTGTAGAAACCAGACATCTATTGGGACCCTGTGTTAGAAAAGGGACCCAAAGGTCTGGAATGCACTGTTTGCTGCCACACTGTTACATAGTACATTTGGAGTAGTCTTCACCAGAGAGCAAGAAAATTTCAAAAATCTAATTAAAAGTGATTTTTTTTTTTTTTTTTTTGAGAAGCTCTCTGATTTTGCTTCTTCCTTTATAAAAGTTTGAGGAACTTTTTCAAACTCTGCAAAAGGGTGCAAAGATTAATCTGTGCAGTGTGGGAATTACGTTAAGTAGCAGTGTCTTTGAGCAGAATATGTATAAAGCATGGATTTGCATTTCAGAATATTAGCCAGTATCAGCTTTGATAATGTTAGCAGTTCTGGAGCTTAATTTTTCTGTGGATCATCTCCTGTAGTGTATAAATGCGTTGCCCTCTGCCCACCTTGATAAATAAACTTCTGCAGAAATGGGCAACCCCTGAGAGCTGTTAACTTCCATGCTACAGAAAGCTGCTTGCTATCCTCTTGTGTTGTGACAAGAATTGTTATGTCATTTTGCATTGTAAATTGCTGGCAAATGCTTTACAGTCAGTAGTGTTGCTTTAAATTGCGCCCCTCCCAACATGCTTGATGTTTGGCCTGATCTCCAGGCAAAAGGAGTGAGATGAATCAAAACCAGTGAACTTTTTTTTTAAAAAATGTTTTTAATTCCCTTTTAACCCAGTGTACTAGGTCAATCAGGAGGCATCTTGGGGAGGAAAAAAAGCAAAAAACAAAAATTTTTTAAAAATTGATTTCTATCTTCCATTGTTTTTCAAACCCCTAAAATATTACAAATAAATCCTGCATATGCTTTCATGCTCAGTTTATCTGGAGAAAGAAATCAGTTAATTGAAGTTGCTTTTTTGACTCTGCCTAATTCTAAGGAAAACTATCTGAGACTTGCCCCAAATTGCTTGGGGATCAAAATCCTGCAGATGCCTCCTGATCAGACAGCCCTAACTCCTTAACAGCTGTAGCAAGAGCTGCACAGTACAAACCCAAAAAGAGCAAGCGCCTTTATTTGGCATCCAAGTCACATATGCCCTATCTAGTCAACATTGGGTAATAAATAAAAACCCTATATTAAGGAAGTAACTTTTTTTCAAGGGGGAGGGAACTTTAAAGTTGTCATCTTCTGACCAACATATCTTGGCCTTGTACTGATGCAGCTCTCTTATATCCCCCTCCTGTTGCCGCCTCTGGCAAGATAAGAGGGATCATTCATGTAGAACAAGAAAGGAGTATAAATGCAATTTTGTGTCTCGCCAGAGAGCCAGCCTGTGGGTAACTAAACAAAAAGCAGTCATCTTTGTCAATCTTAGACTGCTGGCCGGTGCCACATGCCTGTGGGTCCCTCTTAAAGCACAGACTTAATTGAAAGTATTACTGAAGTACAGCCTCTGTTGAGGAAGTGGCACTTAAAACTATCTGGGACACCACAATTGGACACTGTCTTTTAGACAGGCAGCTGTCTAGTTTTGGTGCTTGACTTGAATAGGAATTATTAAATGGAAAGATGCTCTAAAGACTAGGTCAAAGCCTAGTCCTTTTTTTTTTTTTTTTAATCCCTTATAAGGAGCATTGTTACTATTGGAAATTGTCTTCAGATTCTTTCCAGTTTTTGTTTTGTTTTTGTTTTTTCAGTAATGGTTATTTTTCTTCCTAGTGGTTCATTTGGATGATAACTAGGCCCTGTTTTTATTATTAAAACTACATCCAATTCGTGGTTTAGCTTTCTGGTCACGTAGTAGTGTAGTGGGTTATGGATCATTTATTACACACCTTGCTGCCTCTGAGCCTGTTTTGTTTTTCTCTTGTGTTCTAAAATGAAACTTTCTTGCCTTTCCCTTCAGTGTGGAATAAGTTTATCCTAAAATGATCTTTGATGGAAAGAAGTAAGGGAGAGGAAAACCAAAATATATTTCCAAATTATTTTCAAGTTGGTCCAAAAGGTTGGGGTGGGTGGGTGGGAGGGTGGTTAATTAGTATTTGTTTTCAGAATGAGATGGGAGCATCTTTCCTCTGCTTTGTGTTTTATACCATCATGCTTGGTTAAAAAAAGACAACTCAGCACAAAGCCTTGAGTGTAAATTTTTGGAATCAAAACATCTCATTCTGATCATTTGGTTTAATTTTTTTTTCTTTTTTTCTTTTTTTTTTTTTTTTTTAATGTGGGTGGGAGGGGAGGGTACTGTGTCCCAAAGGGGAGGGTGTCTGCACTAAGGATTTAGAAACACTTTGGAAGCTCATAACCTCATCAGAAACTGCCTTTAGCCACACTCCTGACCTTCTAGATGAGTAACAAAAAGATGAAATAAGTTCTTGGGAATGAAGCCATGTTATTTTAATTTGCTGCGTTTTCCAGTGTTCTATGTATCTTTATAGTTGTTATTGTGGAATCATTTTCTTGCCAAATATCTGTCAAGCAAAATTATTGGCCTCGTGGGAGCTGAAGTAAGTCAGCTTTTTGGTGAACTTAATGTGCACTGGTGAGCTTGTGTAGTTCTGCTTTATATTCATAAAGATGGGTTCTTTTTTTTTTTTTTTTTTTTAACTCCCAAAGAAAAGCTATTCTCTCTGATCTGAAAACTCATCTTTGGGGTAAAGAGTTAAGTGTCCAAAGGTTTTAACTGTTCATGAGGTCAGAGGGAGCTAGCCTGGAACCTGGACTCTGCCCCTCCACAGCTGACAGATTCCAACAGAAGTGTATTTAAATTCTCCAGTAGACAATGCTGGGCAGGGCAAGGGAGGGGGTAGGGCTGGGTTATTAAGATACAGGCTACTGTATTTTAACCAGTGATTGTCGGGGAGGGGTGCCTGGACAAAACAAAGTCACTTCCCTTTTTTTTGAAACAAAACAAACTTGAAAAAAAAATTTTTGTTTGGAAAAAAGTGGGAGAAAATTCTAGTGTCCCTAGCCACAAGGGACCAGTTCCACTGAGAAGTGAACAGTGGAAATTCAAATTTGAAAACATTTGGGGAAAGGGAAAATTGGCTTTCTGTTAATTGGCAAGTGTTCCAGTGGGACTGTTTTTGATGGGATGTGTTATGTTGTATGTACCCGTATATAGACCAGAGTCTCAATTGAGTTTATAAGGTTCAGAAAAGATGGTTGGTAAAAATCTTGATTTTTGTTAATTTATCTCAATAAAAGCCCACTGGAACTCCAATTGTGTGTGTGCTGTATATCCTTGATAGCAGGCTGCGTGTCTCAGTCTGAGAACATTTTACTTAATTAATTCATATGGTGAAGCAGTCAGATGTTTTCAACAGTATTTCTGTGAGTCCCGATGACTAAAATCTGAGTGTTCATCTATCCTAGATAGTGTCCCGCCATACGATTACAATCTTCATAGCCTAAATAGAGAACCCAGTAATCAGTTGGGAAGGAGGGAGATGTCCACAATGTCAAAGGATTATGTCATTACCTCCCAAAATTATTCTCAGGCATAAAGCCAAGCACACCCACAAAAACTGTTAAGAGAACTATAGAACACTGATGAAAGAAATCAGAAGACCTGAATAAAGAAATTCAGACATAAAGCTTCTCACACAGACCTTATCACCCCTCCCCTCAATAGATAACGTAAATATTTAAGATATATGTTGAAAACCACAAAATATGAAAGAAATCAGACCTAAATGAATGGAGAGAGCAGTAATGGCCATGGATTGGGAAGATACTAAGGTGAGGTTAAGTTTGATCTGTATAGATTGCATTCCCAAGCAATCCCAGTAGCCTTTTTTGTAGATTTCCACAAGCTGATTCTAAACTTTTATATGGGAAGGTAAGTTGTGCCTTAACTTGTAAAAGCAGGAAATTGGAAGACTATAGTAGTCAAAAGTGTGTTAACAGGTATTGGCAAAAGAATAGGCCTGTATGAGAATGGAACAAAATAGATGCAAACAATTGAAAGATTTTTCTTCTCTGCTGTACTGGGGATTTAACTCAAGGGCACTCTACCACTGCCCTACCATGGTGTGTGTGTGGGGGTGCATTTTTAGTTTTTCATCTTTTATGTAGGGCTGACCTTGAACTTGGAATCCTACACCTTAACCTCCTGAGTTGCTGAGATTAACGTGTGAAACTGGTGTGTGCAACTGCTACATGTTATTTAAACAATTGCAGTACACCCCTATCTTTTTTTTTTAAAAAAATGAAGACCTAAAGATATTAAACAAAAACTTGGAAAAACAATCTGTGACCTTGGTTGGGTTCTGCAGAAAGCAGAACGTGCTCTTATAATTTAGTTCCAGTAAATTCAGAATTCAAAGAGATTGTCCAAAATTTGCAGCTTGTACATGAGAAAGTCAAATTGGGTGACCTGCCTTCAAACTGAGTTCTTTGACTAGGAAACATTTTAGACTATGAAGTCACATAAGGGGACATGCCACCAGTCTTTCTAAGGTGTAAGGAGAATCGACGTGAAAATCACTTAGGATTATTGTACAGGCTGGTATAAGGTCAGATTTCCTTGGAAACAGTTCCTAGATGTGTCTATATTTTCCATTCTGATTACACTAATTACAAGATATATCTATTTGCCTTCCCAAGTCTGTTCTCATCTCAGTCTCCAGAATTGACCTGTATGAATCATGTTAACATTTCTATTCCCTGGCTTCCATTTTTTTTGCTGGCCAGGGGTTCTCTGTGGAAATTGAAGGGAAGAATAAGGTCCTTTGCGTCCCTAGTTAATCCAGTTCCCTACCTATAAGATTATCTCTGGCTGCTTTGTCCCTCAGCTCTGATAGGATCTACATGACCCTATCCCTCATTTTCTGTCCACTGTCCTCCCCTTGTTAGGTTCTGCTACACTTATTACTTTCTAAATAGATTGTGTATAATAAGCTTGGTTGCAGGTGTGTCATCTTTTTCTGGTTGGAACCCAAATTGACAGAGTAATTGGTACTAGAAGTGACCCCAGGAAACACTTGGAAAATGAAATTCTGGGGTTGAGTTAGTCATATCTGATGAGCTCAGTGATATCTTTATGAGGGCTGGTGGAGGAACAGAGGATAGAACCTGACTAATTCACTGCAAATGATGGTATCACAATTCAGATTTTGACTGGGGGTATCATGGAATGAAATGCAGGTAAAAGGAAAGACATGGGGAAATGGGGCTGTGGTGATTATTACAGTGACAATAGGTCCTCAGGCACAGAATCAGAAAATTAAACATGCAATCAACATTCAAAGACAAGAAGGCTTCCTTGGGAGTTTGAAGGGCCCTCATCTTGAGCTAATTGATTATCATGTCCCTAGGACTGAAAGAAACAGCAGCCTAGGAAAGCTTTACTTCATCTGTATAAACAGATCTAGACATCATAGAGGGAATTGACAACCTCAGCAACTGACCGAATCCACAAATGAATTCCCTGGCCCACAGAAATAAGAAACAATTTGACAGAAAATGCTAAATGGAAGCAACTAGAACTGCCTCTATCAAAGTAGTAAACCAACAACAATACCACATTCTCTGAAAAGATTGAAGAGACTAGTGCTATCAACAAAGACTCAAAAGATGCAGAATTGGTGGTTCCCACCAAATCTCTATTCAATGCGTATATTTGGTTTGTGCAGAAGAGGCTAGGAGACTGACAGATTATCAAAAAAATCAGGAGGTGAATTCAACTGCTGTTCCAGATGTTTGCTTTGGTAGAGCAAATCAATATGTCCCCTGCCACCTGTTCACAGCTGTTGTAGTGAAAGCCTTTTTTCTTCAGACTTGATAGTAATAACTGTCAAAAGCAGTTTTCTTTCAGCTGACGGGACCAGTGATACAACTTTATTGACCTATTACTCCTCTAATCACCTCTGAATGCTATAGATTATCATGCGGTACACTGTATTATGGAAATACAGAGCAGTATGTACCATTTGCCCTGGATACTTTACTAAAACTCAAGCATATAGTAGGATAGGAAATAAATCCCACTGAAAATCCTGGGCTAGCCTCCTCAGTGAAATTTCCAAGGTTTCAATGGACTTGGTCATGTTGCAAATATCCCATTCTATGTGAAAGACAAATTGCTGTATTTTAAGAAAGAGGTTTTTGAGTGTTTGGTAGTATTAGATATTTTGAGTGTGTTAACTTGAACCTGTTCACTGGGAAATCTGACTTGCTTTGCAACACATCTAGGTGTTATCACAGGTAGTTCTGACATTAGGGGTCTTCTGATCCAGCAGAGCCAATAATCTTAAAGTATCTGGCAGATAGGGATGCTTTATGAAGATTTTGCTATACCCCTTTAGGTGAATGACTGCACAGACCTTGAGGGTTTTTAAAGAAAAGTTATTTCATATTCTGTAATATTATTCCCCTTTGAAAAACAGCTCTAGTTTGCCACCAAGACCTTAGTAGGTAGAGCCTGACTATGAGACCACTGAGAGTCACCAGGTTAATATGTAACCTGAGCTGCCCATCATGAACCAAGTGTTGCCTGGCTCACCACACCAAGGCAACTCTGGGCTCTACTGGCTCAGAGATGTTAGTTCCCAAGAGAGGAATACCTCCACCAAGGAGCTCAGCAGTGGTTCCACTGATTGGAAATTGAGACTGTCACCTGCCTACTTTGAGCCTCTCAAGCTAATAAACCAATAGGCAAAGAACGACTTTGTGGTGATTAATTCTGATTTGAATCATGGACTAACTTTATAACTACATTAAGAGAATAAGGAAGATCATGTCTGTGATGCAGATCCTGCAGGGTGACTGTATAATGTGATAAAAGTTAATGGAAAATAGCCAGGCATGATGGTGGTGCACACCTGTGATCCCAGCTGTCAGGAGGCTGAGGCAGGAGTAAGAAGGAAGTAGTAAACACCATTCATAACTACACGATCAGTGGCAAGAGATGAGAACCATTATAGTTCGGAGTATTTCTTCCTTATTTATTAACCATTTCTTCTCGTTTTCCCTCCTCACATTCTCCACCATCTGAGACAGAACTATTAATAGAGATTAACCATCTTACACAAAGGGGATTTTGACCCAATTAGAAAAGCCTTGAACATCATCTGAAGATAAAGTGACATATATAAATTGGTGTCCTCTTCTAGGGAGAGGTTTAGCATGTGTTTGACTTTTTGATAGATAGTGGAGAACATTCTTCAGAAGCATGATTTTGCTATTGTCTTGTTTGGAAATTAAACATGACTTTAAAAGAGATGTGATTGGCCATGTGGTGGTGTGTGCCGGTGATCCCAATGACTAGGGAAGCTGAAGCAGGAAGATCACAAGTTTGAGGTCAGCCTGGGCAACTTAGTAAGACCGGGTCTCAAAATTTAAAATGGGGGATGGGGCTGGGGATGTAACTCAGTGATCCTGGATTCAATTCCTAGTATAGCTAGAGATGGGTGTGGGGTGGGAGGTATGATTAATGCCAGGTTAGCAAGTGGTAGAATATGATGGTTTTGTAACTTGCCCACATAGCTAATGTGGAACTACATTTCCTAAAATCTCCTGTCCTATAAAGTTCTACTCTGATGGATTTGTAGTTTGCCAACTTGACTAAGCTAAAACTACTTTCCCCAGAATCCTCTTCCCTGTTTGTTTCTGGATCAGAATTGGCCAAAAGAAAATTCGCAAAAGCTTTGAGAATTTGTGGGAAATCAAAATATGTCACCCCCAAAATATGTCACTTTGGCACAACAAGTCTTTTGAGCTGGAATAGGAATCCAACAGGAATCAAGAAATGCAGAAAGCAGAGCCCGAGAACTTCCTTATCGGACTAAAAGCAGAAACTTCTGCAAAGCGAGGGCTGAGGGCTGAGGGCTTCCTAGAGGACACACCACCAGTAGAATAGATTTAAAGGGAGCCTTGAGGCATTCAGTGGGACTCTCCCACAGCTCCCCACACCCCAAGCCATGGTGTATGGCCCTGAATATCAGCAGCCATGTTTCAAGGACCCAATGGCAGCTGGTGACATCCTGATCAGGAGGATGAAGACGGTAGGTAGAACAGGCCTGTCTGCCAGTCTAGAGCACTCTCAGTCCTCAGGGGTTACCACCAACATGCTCCCCTGTAGCACATAAACCCCATATTCTTCTGTCTCTCCAGTCTTGGGAGCAGCAGTTTGTCCTAGGTGCTAATGCTCAGACGTCTCCCTTATGTATCTAAATATCCATAAGCTTAAATAGGTAACCATATTGTGGCATACCTGTGTAA